CCACAACAAGGCGTGGCGTGGTCTGCTAGTATTATATGAACAGAATACATATTTTTTTGTTCCCAACACTTAAGAAAATTGAAGTATGTGATTGCATCTTTATACGGATTCACTTCCTTTCAAGGGTGACACATCTTTTAAATGTGTCAATAGGAACTTTACAACCGAAATTTATGTAATGGTCCCAACATTTAAGCATTTCGAAAGAAAGGCATGAGAAAAAAGTGGGAGGACCCCGTAATAAAAAAGGAGGAATCGGACGATCGAGGTTCGTCATCTCCTGAGTTCGTTAATTCCTGATACATCACTTACACTGCCAATCACCGTCAAAAACCGTCAGAATCAACCGTCCATCTGACTTTCCATGATCCGGTACGTTTTACAATCCATAAAGTGATTCACATTAACTATTCATGATTAGTGAGTGTAGCAGACTCTCTGATAGTAATGTTGTTATTACCTGATATTATTTAAGCAAAACGCATTTTCTCACTTCGGCATGTAGACNAAAGTGATTCACATTAACTATTCATGATTAGTGAGTGTAGCAGACTCTCTGATAGTAATGTTGTTATTACCTGATATTATTTAAGCAAAACGCATTTTCTCACTTCGGCATGTAGACAATACCTGACAAGCCCGAGACATCGTTTCAAAAAACAATATTATTTAATTTTAACTTTAATAGAAATTATAAACTTGTAAAATATTCTCAGATTTTAGAAGTAAAAATTATAAATAGAATACAAAGTACAATGAACGAAGGAACAAATTAAAATTACAAATGAGAAAGTAAAATGAAAAAAAAAGTAAATTCAGCAGTAATAAAACGAATCAAAAATTAAACTAATAAGTTTTTTAAATCAGAAGAATATAAAAAAATAAATAGGCCGTGACTTTAATGTGACATTTCCAATTTTATGTCATACTAAAATTTGTAATCGAGATTTTGTGAATTCGAAATTCTGCGGAAGAGTAAACTTGACGAACAATTGTAATATACATAACGTGTAGTCTACATGTATATATAGAATATATGTAACAAATTTATAAGATAAAAAAAACAAGTGGACTTAATAGAAATATGTAAGAATAATTATTAAATAATAATCTGAATTGTTTGTTACTATATGACCGAGAAGTATAACAAGAAATTAAACAAAATTTATGTGATCACTATCTTCGATAAGAACAAAAAATAACAAATTATTCTCATTAATTTCGTAATTAATTCCGTTTATTTGTCAGTCGAGAAGTAACGGTTGTTATAACAAATGCTGGTGTATTTCACTCTTGTCTCACTTAAAATAGAAGAAACGACAAGACTCTGAGAGGAAAATATGAGGTTGGTAATCCTCTTTCCATTTCTATTCTCGCTAGTAAATTGCTGCCAAGATTTCTGGGACCAATGGGAAAACTTCTCTTGTAATCCGCCGATATACAAATGTGGCAGAATTGGAAAATTTCACTTTATAAATGGTACAGAAACAATATATGTTTCGAAAAACACGTTAAATAATTCTTGTATATCGACTGCCGACAGGTGTCATTTATCAGATTCGTTTGCAAAAATCGGCAATAACTCCTTATCTGTCACTTGCAGTGAGGAAGAAACCATCGACCTTCGATTGATGCGTTGTTTAAATGTAAAACACGTTAAAAATTTAAAATTTACTGATTGTTACTTGGCGAAATTTGTAGTCGAAAAATTCGCTTCGAATTATGCCATCGAAAAAATCGTCATAAAACACACCTTAAAATCCAAAGACGAAAGGTTTAAACTCGTAAATGGAACGTTGATACTCGAAAGTGAAACGTTGAATTTCGAAAGTGCATCATTTATAAACATGTCGTCTCTGAAATATTTAGAAATTAAAGGCGTAAGAACTTTCGACATATTCAATTTGACTTTTGACGGAGATTCTTCTCTGATTTCTTTGAAAATCACGAATTATAATTTTATGCATTTTCCACATAGACCATTCCAACAATTGAAAGTTCTTTCTGAATTACAAGTGAACGATGGTAAATTAAAGACTTTGCCAGAAGAACTGTTTCATGGTCTTTATAATCTGAAAACCCTGGATTTAAGTAACAACTTAATTGAAACCGTTCATTCTTTAGTCTTTCGAAATCTTACTTCATTGGAACAGTTAAATTTGAAACAAAACCCAATAAAAAGTTTTCCTGAAGACTTGTTGAAAGGTCTTTCGAATTTACGGATACTTTCTATTTCTGGAACATTCTCTGAATTGCGCTCTGTACTTTTGAAGGGACTCGACAATCTGACAGAGTTTCGCGCTTATAATTTTACTTTTCTTTTAATCAAAGAAGATTTTTTTTCCCATTCCATTAACTTAAGAAAGATTATTTTCACTTCCAACAAACGTTTGCATCTTCCATCCAATCTTCTCAAAAATAATAAAAATCTGGAAGTTTTTCATTGCGAGAAGAATAAATTATCGACACTACGGAATGGAATTTTCGACGGACCTTCCAACTTGAAAAAAATCAGTATGAAGGAAAATGCTCTTGGAAATATTCCAGAAAATTCTTTTCAACATTTGTTTAATCTGGAAGAATTAGATTTATCATATAATCGCCTGACATTTTTACCTAAAAACATCTTTCTTTCAACGAATAATTTACGAATTATCCGTCTTTCTGGAAACAATTTCAGAAAAATTTCTTTCGACTTCAACAATAAACTCGAAGAACTATATTTGCGTGAAGCGGGTTTGACGGAATGGCCGAATTTAAATTGGACAAAATACAATTTGACTTATGTTGATTTTACATGGAATATTTTCGAAACTGTCAAATTGCCGATTTACACTCCGAACCGCGTTAAGATGGATTTGGATTTCTGTCGCATAAAAACTATTTACATCGATGAGTGGAAATACGGATTCAACAAACCCAATTACCAATTAAGTCGAAACCCAATAACTTGTGATGGAGAACTTTTGCATTTCATCAGCACTGTTCAATCGAATTTAGAAATTTCATTACAAATTTTTCCGGATTTAAAATACCAGAATTGTCACGGAGAAGAAAGAAAATTGCTGAATTTTACGCAATTCTTCTCCATTAGAAGCCATTGTCCGCTAAACTGCGAATGCTTCTCGAAAAACGACGAGCTTAGAGTCGATTGTAATGGAAAGGGAATAAAGAAAATACCTGAATTTCTGATCGAAGATGCGACAGTCGTCGACTTGAGTAATAATTACATAAATGAATTCTTGACAGTGGATTCTCGGACGTGGAGCAAAGTCACTCGTCTGCACCTGAGTAACAATTCTCTATTGCATTTTCCGAATTATGTTATTTTGCCGAACATCAAATTTCTTTGGTTAGATGGAAACCGATTAACCGAATTGCCTTCCGGATTAATGAATCTGATCGACGTTTCTGCTGAATTCACGGTGTACTTATCGAGAAACAATTGGACTTGTGATTGCTATTCGCTATTCACTAAAGACTGGTTGCTTCGAAACAAAAGGAAAATCGCAGATTTCTCGGAAATTTCATGCGAAAGATATTGGTCCGTTTTCTCTTTCACCAGAATTATTTCTAATGATGAATGCATGCAAATCCCAGAAGATTATTTCATGTCGACAGAGATTGTTTCTTCTACAAAAGACGTGTGTTCTGACAAAGTTAATTCTACTTTTGGGTGGAAAATCGCAGTTGGTTTTCTAAGTTCGCTAATCTTATTAGGTTTACTTATTGTTGTTTCCTTCGTTTATTGTCGTAAAAAAGGAAATGCCAAAAAAGTATCAATGCCAAGAGATGAAGAAATGGTTTATTACAACGTTTACAACTGACAATTTCTGTAATTACGGCAATTCTAATACATCGAGTTTGAACGCTTTAATGAATAGTTTCTTTCGATTGTTGTTATTTTGTATTTGTTTTTACAGTAATTGATTTTGTATAATTGAAATATGTTGTGCTTTGTTAGTGAATTTTAATTATGCATTATGTAAAATAATAACTATTAATTATGTAATAAATCAGTAAATTTAAAACAAAAGTAATTATTTAATTAAATAACTAAACGAAATTTTAATTTGTATGTAAATGGCAAAAACGACAGTAAAATTTTTAATGGCAAAAAATTGACGTATTTTTGTTACCAACACTGTATAACTACGAGTAATGCATTGAGGGATTCGGTCGGTACCTTGCATCTCATGTTCTAGTCGATTTCGTTACCGATAATAGCACCTCTACCAGACACCGAGCACACGTAGTATTCCTTAACAATGCAAGTAGTGTAGAATTGCGACACGCTTTTTCAAAAGATACTTTTTACGCCTTATCCAAAATCCGTAAAAAGAACAAAATATTTTGAAAAAACTAGGCAATATTTCCAGTTTTGATGTAAAAAATCAAGCTGTTTGTGTTCATTCAAATTTCATTCAGAATTTTTTAAAAAACAAACTTTTGAGATAAATTTTTTAATTTAAGGACATTTTCTATTTATGAAAGAAATTGGTTATCAGTAATTTTGTCTGGATTATTGAGAGATTGCACAAGTTTACTGAATTTAATGCATCAGATTGTTTTATTTTTGCACTCGAAAAAGGTGTATTTTCTGACGCAACAAATTTAAAGTTGCTACTCTTCGATGCAGAAACAATTTACTATACGTAATAATAAAAGTTGTATTTGTAACTAGTGTGAATGTTTGGTAGAGAAGGAACAATTATATTTCGCGTAACCTGGTCACACTATATATAAGTATGGTTTTTATATTTTTAACTATTATAAAATAGTAAAAAGCTTAATTTTCAGGGTAGAAATGGATTTCATTAAAGATTATAAAAGCCAATAACGAGTAAGATGGTCACACACTCCGATCCTAGTGGAGATAAACACGTTCCCCTTTATCTCCTCACCTCATCGATCTGCCTAATAAGCATACTTTCCTGCAAAATTTCAGGATGTTTGAATACGTAATATTAAGCTTCAAACAGGATAAACGAAATCGTGATCCCTGCAAACACACGCACGTTAACATTAATACATAAAGAAATTTTAAATACATAAAAAAACCCACGAATTTTTTTCGCATTTTGAGGTGTCCAAAGTCTATAAATGTAAAAATTTTGGGAGCATTTTTTTACTAATATTCGCAACCCTTCGTTATACGAGTATATATCAGCAGGAAAAGTAACAAAAAAACATGTTGATTGAGTGTTTGTCACAACATTGTTCTCTTACTAGTGTGTCTCTTACTAGTGTACTCTTACAAGTTATCTACATTTCTATTGTACCTTTGTGCCCTTTTCCTTTGAATCATTGAGCTGCAATTCCAAAAACTCGTAGATTTACCGTATAAATTTACGCTGTGGTCTGTCCAATGTCTGTCCTTCCTTACGCTGTTATATAGATTAAAGTCGAGACCCGATTAACTTTATGGAAACTTTCGGTCTAGAACGAAAGTCGCGTGATTTTAATTCAAATATCTATTCAGAACAGACATAAATAACTTTGTTATTATCAGAAAAATTGTGGTATACAGAAGCAAAACAGTATTGAACTGAGATCCATAGCATATATTTTAAATTAAATATATTAAAAACACGATTAAAAATGCAGCCCCGTACGCTCTATGTTTAGATATTAAGATAACAATTAGGCTACTTGATCTTTCGTATATTAAATGTAATATTAAATTTTCAGTAAAAATGATATTTGTGAGTAAATAATTTTGTGTTATGTCACAATATTGTAAATTCACTCGTAGAATATTACAAAAATATTTTCTTGAGTGTTGTTTACCGGTTTTGTTAAGTTATGGCAACGCAACTATTCGAGGGTTTTTAGCGGCCTTATTCAGGCGTTACAGACGTAAAGAAAACCCCACGTGGCCAGCCATTCCGAGCGGAGGGTAGACCCACGACTGAACTCCCGATGAAAATTTAAATTTATGATTTTTGTTTGTAATAAAATAAAAATAATTAATTGTTTTACATAATTATAATAACAGCTTTAAACTGCACATAAACATAAGTGTTACGATGTAGTTATTTTAATCTAGTAAAGAAACGTTTTTCATTATAAAGCAAATTGACTTATTTTCTATTATATATTTTATTGGAGGAATGGCCAGTGCCCTGTTGACCTACAGATATAACAACGTACTTGTTGCAAATTAAAAGACTTCTGATACTTCTACCTTGTAAATAATTGCATCATCTTTATGAAATCAAATTTGATTATGAGTAATAGCTTGTATCTTCTTACGAAACTTTTTATTAGATGTATTTTGTTTCTAATTTGTAACTCGTAAAACTTGTAATAACTACAAGCATTTTATGCAACAAGACACAAGCCCTACAACAATTCACCTACTGTCAGATAACACACTTAAACAGCACCGTCATGATGAAGAACCGTATGGGTCTTCGACATTGCTAAATTCATATAACAGGCAATAATTGAGTGAAACTCCATCTTGTATAACGAACAGGATATCTTTACAGATAGTCTTCTTAAAAATGTTACGTATTTATAGATATATAGGTAAAAAACCTCTTAAAATTTATTATTGAATATACAATCTTTATACTTACGAATAATTTTAATTTTCGAATAAATCAAAATTATCGAAAAAAATGAAAGTTTTTCCCTTTTGTGACGAAAAAAAAAACAGAAATGAAACTGAATAAACAATTGAAGTAATTACGCGTTACGGATTAGTAATTAGTCAAAATATATGAGTACATTTAATTAAACAATTTAATTCATTGTCTCTTGTATGTCATTTGCAATTAAAATAAAAACCGAGTTCATTAATAGTTGCGTGACGATACGAAATTTTATTACGAATTTTTAAAGATCAATATTATTTTTAAAAATTGTCATTTGTATAATGCTATTATCGACGTTTTTCAAACTTTTCAAAATACAGTAGCCTAATAACAAAGGAAAAATAGTCTATAAAGTAAATTACTTAAATGCGGATATTCAGTATAATTTTATTCGAATAGTAAACTCGAATTTACTTTGAAAAGTTACTTATTGCATTCCATGTATTTATATATATATTCGGGAAAATGTATGACAATAGATGGAAAAATAACCTCTCAAATGTTTACATTTATGTATATACTAGCTGATAAGCCGGGCGTTGGTCGGGCAAAAAGTAAACATGGCGAAGATTAAGGTTATTTTACATTATAGCCAATATTATCCATTTATACAGAATGCAATAACTAAATCTTAGATTAACTAGAGAATATTTAGATATTTAGATCTGAAAATATGTTCGATTTCTCGCAAAAATGCAAAAAACCACATCCGCGCCTGTAAGTCTTGCACGTCGCTTTCGCTTAACACTTCTATCATCGCCGCGTAGTACTCTACTAAAACGCGGTTATAAATAAAAAATTGCATTTAAAATAGTACCGTAATAGCTCAGTTCTTTAGGATAAGCCCTGATCCTGTCTCTCTCCCCGCGAGGGGAATTTCGTGTGACATATATATAATAATAGGTATATAAAAACACGCGCGTATTCGAATGCAATGTTATGTCAAAATTTCAAAGCAATCGATGAAGAACTTTCGGAGATTTAAACTTTAGTACAAACGAACATTTACATTTTTGTTTATACAGAGATGAACTTTATGGTGTGTGCCAGTGTTGCCGCAATGAAATTTCAAAACGTACTGAAGCGCCTTCAAAAAATGTACTATTTTCCTTCAAAATGTACTAGTTCTATGAATACTTTGTTTACGTGCCTATATATATATATAGGCACGTAATTTATAGGCGTATATATATAGTTTATTGTCAAATAATTTAATTTTAAATCTTATTTTTCGAATTTTTTTGAAAGCTATTTAAAATTAAAAATATATCTACACATCTATTATTTATTATAAAATGAGCATTACATTGACAACATTTATTAATAATACTATTGAATTTCATCTTAATTTTATAACCAATCGTGCTTTAAAAAAATAATTATAAATTTGTTATATTATATTATTTTATTCTTTATTATACTTTAAATTTTTTTGATGTTATTGCATCACTTTACGAAGTGGTATATACGTAATTGCATCAGTTTTAGTACCTATTTAATTAATTTCAATCATGACAGCAAAAGATAAGGATGCTTGTTTCTTTTAAACTATTTGATGAAAACGTTACATAAAATTGGGGTTGCATAATCATCCGAAATTATTATTATATTTTTGACTGGAAATTACAGGATTTATGCAATTTTAGTTTAATTAATGTCATATAAAACTGACTGCTCGTACAAGTTTGCTTAAAACATGCAACTCAAAAAACCCCAAAATGGCAGCTCAAGAAGTAGATCACGCGTGTCCTGATCTTCTTATATAGACCTTGGAACAGTCGGAAGCGCGGCCATTTTGGAACCATACGTAACATTAACCCTTATTTCTTTTACTACGATTACTAAAATTGAAGTTCATAATTTAAGAATTAAATTATAGTGGTAGAAAATAATATAAAAGTATTTATAATATTTATACTCGTACAATTTCAAAACTATTTTCTGTAATAATTTGTTTCTGACTTAACGGATATTTTGATATTATTGACGACAAAAGTTTAAAATCATTGATTTCCTTACCTGTCCGTTATTTTTGTTTGACGGAGTTGAATTGTTTGGACCACGTGGCATGAAAAATTTTGTCAAGGTCCTGATGAGAATGTGCAGACAACTGAACGTGTGAAAGAAGACCACTGAGTCAAGACCGTTTACACGTGCAACTATCTATGTTGCTGACGTCGACGGACACACACCATTTGTATGTTGTGATTGGATAATTTAAATTAGCAAGCAGTGACACTAGTGAGA